CTCTCTCTCTCTCTCTCTCTCTCTCTCTCTCTCTCTCTCTCTCTCTCTCTCTCTCTCTCTCTCTTTATATATATATATCCCTCTCTATCCCTCTCCCTCTCACTCTCCCTCTCCCCCTCTCCCTCCCCTTCTCTCCCATCTCTCCCTCTCTCTCTATATATATATCGCGCACTCCCTCGCTCTCACTCTGTGGCCAGGCCCCCGCGCCATGCTCCCTACACCCGTGCCACGGGCTGCTCCGTTGCTTGGCCCATCCCCTCCACCTATATCATTCCCTTCTACGCCCCACCCTCTGACCGCCCTTCCTGGCCTCCTCGTCTATGCCGCCACCCTTCCCTCGACCCCCTCCTGGTAGAGCTGGTGGGAGTGGAGGAGGGGAGGTCCACCCGCTCTTGGATCCACCGCTGAGGCTGGTGGCCGGTGGGCCGGTGGCCGCTGTGGGCCGCGGAAGGGGCGGTGGGCGGACCGCCGCGAGGCGGGCGCGGCGGGCCGAGGCGGCGCCCAGACCGCCGCCGCCGCCATCGGGCGAGCGAGGTGCCCGCGCCCATAGCGCATTTGAAGAAGGGAGGGGAGGGGAGGGGCCCTGGGGGAAGGGAGGGACGAGGGAGAGGAGGGGGAGGAGGAGGAGGAGGATCGGGGAAGAGGATGAGGAGGAGAAGGGGGACGATGAAGAGGGGAAGGGGGAATGGGGGAAGAGTCGGAAAGAGGAGGAAGATGATGATGGTGAGGTGGAGGAGGAGGGGGGGGGGAGGCGGGGAGGAGGGCTGGGGAGGAGCAATCCCTCTCCCCATCCCTCCCCATGGCATGGCCATCCCGAGCCATCTCGCCCTTCGACAGTTCCCGCCAGGCCCGAGCCCAAGACGCCGAGACACCACGCACCCCGACCGCCCCCGCACCCGCCGCATTAGGCTGGAGATGAGCGAGGGGGAGCGCCCGACGGTGCCTGAGGAGGAGCCTGAGGAGGAGGCGCCTACGCGCGCGGAGCGCGGCTGGCGCAGGCTGCGTCGTCGTCGCCGTTGTCGTCGCCGTCGTCCCGTCGTCGTCGTCGTCGTCGCCGTCGTCGTCGTCGTCGTCGTCGCTGTAGGCTGTGGGTAAGCGTGCGCCGCCTCCGGGCCCGGATGCGGTTCTTCGGCCTCCTCGGGCAGTGCCCCTCCTTCTTCCGCCCCGTCCTTTATCCTCTTCCCACTTCCCTCATACTCCTTATCCCTTTCTTCTCCTCCTCCCCGGGCTCCTCCGATCCCCCTTCCCTCCACCCGCCCGCCTTTCCTCCTCCCCGAGAGAAAGAGGGGGAGGAGGGGGGTGATGGGTGATGGGGGAGGGGGGGGAGGGGGAGGAGGGGGGGGAGGAGGAGGAGGGGGAGGAGGAGGAGGAGGGGGAGGATGAAGATGAGGAGCAGGAGAGGAGGGAAGGGTCCTCCCTCCTGTTCCTCACCCGCCCCCCCGCGCTGTCTCGAGGTATCTTCAAGAGTTCGACTCGGAGTTCAGAGAGTCGGTGAAAAAGGCGTTGCCGAAGAAGTGAGGGGGGGAGGAGCCGGGGGGGAGGGGGGAGGAGGGGAGGGGGGGAGGGGGATGGAGGAAAGGGAATGGGGGGAAGGGATGGGGAGGGATGGGATGGGGGGAAAGGATGGGATGGGGGAGAAGGGCTGGGGAAGGGATTTTATGGGGGGGGGACAGGAGGGGGCGCCCCAGGGAACGCGCGCCGCGCCGTGGCTTGGGCCCGACAGCGGTAGCCTGACGCGAGGGAGGGCCGCGCTCGCGGGCCGCGCCTCCCTCCCTCCTCCCTCCTTCTATCCCGTCTCATTCTCCCCCCCCCCGTTCTCCCGCCCCCCATCCTCCCCCCTCTCTTCCATTCCTCGCCCCTCGCCCGCTGCCCGCGATGACCGAGCAGATGAAGGAGGGCACGAGTAAGGAGGATCGCGAGGACGAGTCTGAGGACGAGGTCGTGGCGTGGAAAGTGCCGTGGTGGAAGGGCGAGGGCAAGGGCAACGGCAAGGGCAAGCGCAACGTGAAAGGCGGCAAGGGCAGGGGCCACCAGGAGGACGAGAATGAGGGGGAGAAAGCGGCGAATGCGAAGACGAAGAAGCGGGACCCAGCGAGGCTCAGGAGGGACGACGTCGTCGTCGTCGTCGTCGTCGTCGTCGTCGTCGTCGTCGTCGTCCGTCGTCGTCGTCGCCGCCGTCGTCGTCGTCGTCGTCGTCGTCGTCGTCGCCGCCAGGAGGCAGCAGGGGCAGCAGGAAGAGCGGCGGCCCCAAGCAGACGACGACGAGAAGGAAAGGGCGAGGAGGAGAGAGGAGGAGAAGGAGGAGGAGGAGAAGTCGAGGCTGCTGCGGGAGATAGCGGCTACCGTGGAGAGGCGAGTTGAGGTGGAACTTCTGGCGGAGAGGAGGGCAATGGTTGGCGAGGACGTGCTCGCGAGGAAGCTGAGGGCTTGGGAGAAGATGAACAGGCGACGACGAATGCGACGACGACGACGACGACGACGACGACGACGACGACGACGACGACGACGACGGGGCGGCGCGGGCGGCGCTCAGAGCGAAGATCACGGGGAAGGTGGAGGCAAGGACGAAAGGAAGCGGGCCATGAGGACTGATGGGGGACTGCCTCAACTCAGCCGCGCGGCGCCCGGGCCCGCACAGGCGCGCGGAGACCGCGGGTGATCGTCGCACTGCCTCGCTGGCGAAATGAAGAGGGCGAGGGTCGCACTGAGGGCAGAGGGCAGGCGAAATGAAGAGGGCGAGGGTCGAGGGTATCATTGTTGCGTCATGCCGTTTTTGGTTTCCAGGGGGCGCCCTCGCGGCCGCGACTGGGTCCGACTCGGGGTTCTGCAGGTCAGAGCGCGAGGGGGGGGGGGGGATGGGGGAGTGTCGGAGGGGGCGAGAGGGGGGCGACGGGGGAGGTGGAGGGGCGGCGGGCGGGGGGGGGAGAGGGAATGCGGGGAGAGAGGGATGGGGAAGGGAGAATTGGGGCGAGAGGGGATTGATCGGGGAGGGAAGGGACGGGGGAGCGAGAGGGAGGGTGGGGAGGGGCCTCCTGTCCTCCGCCCTCTGCGCCGTGCACGCCCATGCGGCGACGTTGTCCGTGCCCCAGCACCCATCAGCGAGGTGCGTTTGGTCACGAAGAGGACGGGGAATGGTCGTCAGAGGGCTCAGAGGAAGAGGAGGGGGAGGAGGGCGGAGCAGGGCGGAGCAGGGGGGTCAGAGGGCTGACTTTCATGCAGATTGGCGACTCCTGGGGGTATTGAACAGTACCTCATCAGTTGGCAGCCCGTCAGTGCGCGTATCTTCCGCAAAGTAGATGGGGAAGAATCTGATATTCTCCAACTTGCTCCGCTCGCTGTCAGAGGTCTTGCAGCCAGAGACGCAGGACACAGGGCCGATGTCAAAGCATTAAACCAAAGGCCACGCCTCAACAAGTTTTGGGTTGGGCCAGTCTTTTGGGAGGGGGCGATGAAATTGATCAACGGTGTCCGAAATGCTGTCTGGCATGACCACCACCAGGCTTGTGCTAGAAACGGGTTTGCCATGGGGATCTGGACGCAACAGAGGCTGCATGACCACCACCTGGCCCAGGACAATGTGCGTCAGATTTGCCCAGGTGCCCCAGGAACGGTATCCCACAGGAGATTCGAATGTCCTGCCTTCGATGCGGACCGTCGAGAACACCTCAGTCCTGCTGCTCGTGATGCAGCGGCCAGAGCAGAGGCGCTTGGACAGGACTTGGAGAAGTTGGCGTGTGGGCTGTTGCCAGATCCGCGAGAACTCACGCCCCCTGCGTAATCAACCAGCGAGTGCCCGATTTTTTTGTGTGACAAACCAGAAGGTGGGAAGCTTTCTGGATTCCTGTTCACCGATGGATCGGCCCTCGACACCACCTCTGAGAGGTTCCGTCGAGCTGGATGGTCGATCTGAATGGTTTCGAGTAGCGGGGACCTTCTCTCGGCTGCCTTTGGGCCAGTGCCACGACAGGTGGCCCCACTGCAGCAGGCCAGAAATGGCGAAGACTACGCATACTACATGTTGTCTGAGCTTGCCGAAGGCCAGTTTGAGACCTTCACAGACTGCCAAGGGACCCTCGGATGCGTGTGGGACCGTCACGAGTCGATCGGCTCGAGTAATCCGAGGGCCCATCTTTGGGCCAGGGTTTGGCATATGTTTGAAGATGGGATAGTGGCCCACAAGACGTTGGGCCACGCCACAATGAGCGACATCCTTGAAGGCAGGTCCTCGCAGTCCGAGCGCGAGGGCAACAGACATGCTGACCGCTTTGCAAAGAGGGGTGCTAGTCAGCACCCAGATGTCTCACACGCCAAGCTGCAGTATGAAGAGCTGCAAAGGCTACAAGAGGATCTAATTCGATGGGGTGGGGTCCAAGATGTCCTGACGAGCCAGCGTTCTTGGTCGGACTGTTCTGGGTTTCCTGAGACCTCCGTTGAGCAGGACTCCGTTGGCCCCACACCCGTACCTACCAGTGCCGCGTTGGCAAGAAGGTACTTCAAGTTGCAGAGAGCTTCCCTGAGTCGAGCGGAAAAGGTGCTGGCTAGGAGAACGCTCATATCTTTCAAAACCCCGCTGTTTATGGACACTCGAACTCCAGACATTGGCCAGGCCAAGGCGTTGACCGAGAGCCAGGCCATAGTCTACCTGCAGGGTCACAACCTTGGATGTATAAGGTCTGGGACGGGGGTGGAGTGCGGGCGGGCGGGAGTGGGTGGTGTATGAGCTGTATCAAGTGTGGTGGGTATGCTTGGGGAGGCGTTGACACGTTGTGCAAACCGTGTCCCCAGCACCCACCCACCAAAGATTTGAAGCAGCAGAGAAGCCGTCCATTTAAAGGCCTTTTTCCTTCCTGGGCAAAACAGTACAAAGGCTGGCGCCTCACTGATCAGAGGGCGCCACTGCCGTCTGACCTCCTTGCGCTCGTTCGGGCCACGAAGCGAGGGGTCCAGGTCTTGGAGGATAGACAGGCCGAGGATGGTTGCAGTTTTGATTCCACCTGGGGAGAGAGATGGTCGACCTCAGTCCTCTTCTCCAGGTTCGGAATGATTCGGCCCGCTGGTCAGGACGCTCCTCTGAGAGGAGACGATTCTGACTAGCCGTGTTTGGCGTGATTAGGGGTGTCTGGCATAGACAGACGCTCCTAATGAGAATAGAATAGAATAGGAAGAGGAAGAGGAGGAGGAGTAGCAGGAGGAGGAGGGGGAGGAAGAGGAGGAGGAGGAGCATCACGAGGAGGAGGGAGAGGAGGAGGAAGAGGAGGAGGAGGAGGAGGTAGGAGGCAGGAGGAAGTGGGAGGCAGAACGTAGGAGGGGGAGGGGGGAGGTAGGAGGCCAGGAGGAGGCAGGAGTCAGGAGGGCAGGAAGGCAGCAGGGTAGGGTGGCAGCACGCTGGTCGGCCCCCGTGCGGCTGCAACAGGCCCTCCCCTCCGGGAGTGCAATCGGCGCGCGGCCTCCGCGCGCCCCGCGCGCGGCTTCTCCCAGCGGGCGGCGACGACGACGACGGCGGCAGCGATGACGACGACGACGGCGGCCAAGGCCTCCAGCGGGGCCTCGAGTGCCCCGCGCCGAGGAGCCCCGCCGACGTGCGGAGGACCGGCGTGGAGGCGCCGCGGGGGCGGCGCAGCGGCCCTGCGTGCCACCCCCGAGGCGGAGGCGGTGAGATTCGGCGGCGAGCGTGGGGGGCCCACCTAACGCGCACGGGCACCAGTCGCAACCCTTCGGCACGCCCAGTCAGCGCACGAGGGGCCCACGAGGCGCCCGCGGATGCCGACCATCGGCGGCGAGCGAGGGGGGGAAGTGAGAAGGGACGGGCCTTCTCAGAAGGCTCGGAAGCCCCCCGCGCCTTCGAGAAGTTTTCTAACATTTCCCCGAGGACACAGCCAACTTCTCAGAAGGCGCGAGGGCGTCTGAGAAGTCCCGCCGCCTTCTGAAAAGGCCTTCGCCTTCTCGTTTCCCCCCCCCCCCCTCGCCTCGCTCGCCGCCGAGAGGTGCCAGTGGGGCGGCGAGGTGGCCGATCCTCAGGCGCGAAAAAAGGTCGAAGTTACGCACTGCGCGAACGATCGTATCACGAGGCTGGTCTCGCGGACAGGGGGGCCGTATTCATGTACGTGGTTGGGCGCGACGTCCTTTTGTGTGCTCCCTAGATTCGGGAGCCAGGTTGGTGAAAAAAGCTATTGGTACCGCTTCCCTCCCCTAGTTTGCTTCTTTTTGGGCTTACTGGGAGGCCCTCGTCGCCACCGCTGGATTGGCTTCGAAATTCTGGTCAGAACGCACCCTGTGAGAGGTCTGGGGAGCAACGGTATCGATACTTTTGGTTTCCCCAGTCACTCAGCCGATACTGGAGCCAGATTGGTGACGGGAGTGGCGATGGCTTTGGTCGGAGAAGAAGAGCGGCATGATAATAGATTTTCGGAGCTCCGCGCGGATCTCTGGGCTCTGCGCTGATGGCCCCCTGACGGCGCCTGCGACGCCGCCCCTAGCGCGCTCTGCGCTCAGGGAGGGTGTCCTCAGCGGCGATGCAAGACATCCGCGCGGACTTTGAACAGTTTATATGTATGCTGTTTATACTCTTCTAGTGGCGCTGATCACAACGACGGTGGCGACGATGATTAGGATGGCGATGATGGGCACGGTCATGATGTTGCCGCTGCTGATTCTGGAGCTGTTGATGGTGATGAGGGCGATGTTGATGATGAGGGCCACAGTAAGGGTGATGTGGATGGCTGGTATTGGCTGTCATTGCAATGGCGATGGCTGGGCTGGTCCTCGGGGCTCCCAGGACGGCACAAAAAACCGCCAAGAGATTCCCAGGATGGCCCCCATTGGACCATTTTCGGGCGCGTTGGAGTCTCGGCTTCCGAATCATGCTGAAAAGTTACGGGGGGCCTCCCAGGAGCGCGCGAGAGTTCCCAAGAACGCCCAGGAATCCCGGTCGTTGAGGGTCTGGGGCCCAATCGTATTTCAATTGAGGGCTCTTGGGGGCCTGAGAGCACTCCACTCAGGGCCTATGGCACGATGGCGGATCTACTTGGTATTCTCTACTATCTTCTCTCTGCACTGCTCTGTCTGCCTCTGCCCTGGCGGGAACGCGGGGGCTTCCCATCATGCTTGGGATATTGGGGTCGGCACTCTGGTGGAACGCGTCGCTCTCGACAAGATCTCTGGAACCACCGCGTGCCCCGCTGTCGCCACTCCGAACGCCGCGGCGTTGATCATGCATGTTCCCGCGCTAGTATTCACTGCTCTCCAAGCAATTCGGCCCCTCCCCTGTGCTCTTTCCATTCTTCAGTGTGCTCTCCACTCTCGAGGTGTCTCTACTCTCTACTCTCTGTACCGTCGTCTCCACCCTCTACGCTTCCTTCTCTACCGTCGTCCCTCCGCTCTCTACCCTCTACCGTCTTGTTCACACTACTCGCAACTCTCTGCTCTCTACTCTTTGTTATATTTCTGCTACATCGTACGTTCTACCCTCGGCCCTAAACTCTCGGTTCAATATTGGTAACCAGTCTGATTAACCTGCCCGGGCTCAGGGTGGGCTTTGGGCGGCATAGCCACAGTCATTAACCTGCCCGGGCTCAGGGTGGGCTTTGGGCGACATGGATTTTCCACCCAGTCTTGCTTTGGGCGGCGTAGCCACAGTCATTGCACACATAGCCTCCAGGGGACTTGACCTTCGCAAAGGGGGGGGGGCAAGCCTCCGCCTTCAGCTTCCGCCGCGAGCGCCCTGCGCCACTCCGTGAGCCTCAGCTGGTCACGCTCCCAGGCAAGCGAGTTCCTCCAGGCCGAGCGGAGACAAGTGAGGAACAAATCAGGCCCGTTCCTGGCCACTTCCACCGCGGCTTCCACAGAATCCCCCAACACACGAGTGGCCTCCTCCCCCGCATGCCTTCTCATCCACGCAAGATCATTTTTTTTATAAGTTGCGGCCACGAGCCGCGGACATCCCACTGCCTGTCGAGTAAAAGAAGAAGCTGACGCGGGGCATTACGAAGCAGACGCACAAGGTACTTGAGTCTCCTGTACGCCAACAGTCGCCCAAGAGGCGCCCGTTGGCACGTGAGCAAAACCTCGGCATCCGACACGGTATCCTTTCGCTTCTGACACTTGACAGCACGTCTCAGGGACCCGTAGTAGGCCGACTCCAGCTGCTGCTTGCTTTTCTCATTCAGTTGTCCCCACGTATCCGCATTATGTATAATCTTAGACTCGATGAGGGCCGCATGGTACTGCAACTTAGCCGCCAGGGAGACCCCTCTCATTCTGAAAACGGTTCCAGACATCGCTCCCGTGATGGCTCTAGCAGTGCCACATCTATAGGCCACCTCGGGCCCCACCGACCCGTCCGCGGCCAGCAACGTCCCGAGGGACTTATGCGTAGCCACCATCCCAACCGTTTCCTGCAAGCTTGGGATGTAAATCTGGCCCTGCAACTCAACCGACAGCAAGCGCTTACACCGCGCTTTGTCTCTGCCGTTGACCTGAATCATCACCTGCGATTTCCCCGCAGCAAAACTGATGACGAGGCCATCTTGGGCCATGCGCGTGACGATGACCGAGAACACCGTCCGCACAACCCACAGCACATCAGAGTTGCTCCTACACACCACGGGAAAATTAGCATCGTCAGCATAAGCGGTGTCGGCCAGGGGGGGCTCGTCCCCCGGCTCAGCCAGGATGCTGACCTGGGCTTCTTTCGACCCATTCAAAAGACCCTTCTCGCTTAAATCCTTCTCAATATTATGCACAGTCCTAGCGAAAAGGGTGTTGTAGAAAAAGTCAGCAAGCGCATTGCCTGGCCTAGAGCCTTTGGTCGTGGCAGCAGCGCAACATGCTTCGCCAACCCGAAGCCACGTCGCTCTCTGACTCTCGCTCAGCAGCCGACTGAGGTGGGGGGGTTTTCCCTTCGAGGATACACGGCGACTGCATCGTCTGCTCGAGGGCTGGTCTCATCCACCCTTTGATGTGGACCGACTCAATGATGCACCTTCTCTCCTCTTCATCCGTGGGCAGATCAACAACGAACTGCCGAATCATATTATAAAAAGCACTGACCACGTCCACAAGCGGCAGCACCGCCGTGAACTTCTCAGCCTGCGCCTGATGCAAGAAAGCCAACATCGTGTGGGTGGACAGCGCAGTTCCTCTCCCTTGTCGACCGCCAGTCTGAGAGGCTTTGAGCAGACTCTCGATGAAAGCGTTCAAGCACTGTCTGAGGAACGCATAGTGGAACTTAGGCACGGCATTGGTCAGGGTGATGGACCTGAAGTGCTTAGTCACCCCCCAGTCCCCTTTGCTTTTAAACAGCCCACGCGACTGGGTCCCCTTCCAGGACGGTGGCTCAAACCCCGTAAGACCGACTTTAACAAGCAAAGGTTGGATGTGCCGAGCCGCAGCCCCTGGGGCCGCGGCCAGCACGTCGACCGAGAGCCCGTTGGGCACAACCTTCCTCTTGGGGGCCCCTTGGATGGCCCCAGCGAGCCACTCGCGGGTGGGGACATACTCGATCGCCGCTTGACAGTCAGTACTCATCTTACGAGCCGTCTTATCATAGATGTCCTCAAGCTCCTGGAAATGCACCCTACGGGCCCCTTCAATTTCGGAGAAATGCCTTAGAAGCTCCTCATCCCACTCTTGGGGCCCTCGGAGGACCTGGCCTTGTTCATCCCGATAGATGGGCAAAAGGTTCGCCCCTTTGTACCGAGCCTGCTCGAAACCTCCAGTGGCAATGACCCTCTTGGCCTTCTGCCACTCGTTGCTGGCATCTCCGCTCTCACGACTGCTCATCATTTCCCGCGCCAGGTCCTCAACCTTACTAATGCGATCCCGCATGATGCAGTCGCGCAGCACCTGCCGGGTCTGGTCAAGGAAAAAACGGATAGCATCAACCAGGCACGCACCTGGCAACACCGTCGCCGCAACCTGTGAGCGAATTTCCTCCATGTAGCTCGCGCGGAGGCTCCACTCGCACTGCGCCTGCGCAAAGTCAGAGACTCGCGGCCCGAAAGACCACGCGAAGATACGTGCTATGTCCCAGTTGCCCTGTCTAGACCTACGGATAACCTTGACCCCCATCTGCGGAGCCTAACAAGCCCCATGACCTGCCTACTGACATACGGCTTAAAGGGAGTAAAAGGGGTCCTGACCAAAGTGCCTCTTAGCGGCGTTCAACATGGTTTCAGTCACCGCCACGCTATGCTCCTCGGCACCGACCTCCCACGCACACACTGGCAACTCATTAAGCTCCCGAGCGAAGGCCCCTTTGACCTCAGGATCGGACAACTTACGGGGGTCCATGCGGGGGGTCCCGTGAGCCTTGGCTTTTCCGACCACCTGATACTCGAAAGAACGCGCGACAGGGAAATTATCATCCTTGAGTCGCTGAGAATCAAAAGCGCAGTCAACCCAAACCTCTTTGGCGTATTGCCGCCAATCCACACTGGTGGTCACATAGTCCAGTCGATGTCTGGTGCCAGCATGCGACACCCAAGTGTGCCCCTGGTCATGAGGCAAGACCGTGTTGAGAGCCACATGGCCCCCAAGATCAAGCAACTCCCGAACATCTCCTCCGTTATCATCCTCCTCCTGCTGCAAACCACATCCCCCC